GACCTTCCCTTGGTGAATCCATGCTGACTGTTCCCGATCACTTTCCTCTCATGTAAGTGCTTCAGAATTGATTCCTTGAGGACCTGCTCCATGATTTTTCCAGGGACTGAGGTGAGGCTGAGTGGCCTGTAGTTCCCAGGATCCTCCTTCTTCCCTTTTTTAAAGATTGGCACTACATTAGCCTTTTTCCAGTCGTCCGGGACTTCCCCCATTCGCCACGAGTTTTCAAAGATAATGGCCAATGGCTCTGCAATCACAGCCGCCAATTCCTTTAGCACTTTCGGATGCAACGCGTCCAGCCCCAACCACAGAAGACTGTGGAGGGTGCCAGGCACCCCGCTGCCGAAATGCCACCGCCGAAAAGCAGCAACGTCAAGAAGCGTCGCATCTGAAATGCCACCGAGAAACAGCAATGCTTCTCGGAGGCATTTTGGCAGCGGGGTTTCCTGCGGAGGCACAAAAATGCCCCAGCAGGTGCCATGGCGCCCGTGGGCACCGCGTTGGGGACCCCTGCATTATCAGGAGTGTTGTATTGAAGACATAAAAAGTAATTCTTCTGCTTTACTCTGCGCTGATTAGACCTCAGCTGGAGTATTGTGTCCAGTTTTTTGCACCACATTTCCGGAAAGATCTGGACAAATTGGAGAGAGTCCAGAGAAGAGCAAGAAAAATGATGGAAGGTCTAGAAAACATGACCTGTGTGGGAAGATTGAAAAAATTGGGTTTGTTTAGTCTGGAAAAGAGAAGGCTGAGAGGGGACATGATCACAGTTTTCAAATACCTAAAACGTTGTGACAAGGAGGAGGGAGACAAATTGCTTTCCTTAACCCCTGATTATAGGACCAAAAGCAACGGGCTGAAATTGCAGAAAGGGAGGTTTAGGTTGGGCATTAGGAAATAACTTCCTGTCAGGGACGTTGTAAAATCTCCATCATTGGAGATTTTTAAGAGCATGTTAGGGCTGTTCTCAATGCTTCTGGTCCTGCCATGAGTGCAGGGGAGTGGCCCTGATAACCTCTCGAGGTCCCTTCAAGTCTGTCTGGCTACTCCCATTGCTTTACCTGGAGTGCTGGTTTTGGGTGTTTCCAGCCTCACACATTGGAAGCTTCACATACAATGATAGCATATATAGCCAAGTGAGATATCAATGTTTAGCAGATCAAGGCATTTAGAATGATACAAAGCATAATTCCATCACCATGGTGAATATGGGGTGCTTTGGAGTGCAGAGTATCAAAGAGATTGTGGGTGTTTAACTCAGAGATATCTGCTCTCTCTGGTAAACTGCCAATGGAAGCTCGCAATCTTGCAGGTGCTCTGTCTGGCAGGAATCAAGAAATGAGCATGGAAAGTCCCATGACGCATGCACACGGAAGGTGCAAAGCTACCTGTCAGCAATGATTGAGTGCTCAATAGTCCTTATAAGGCAACAGGCATAACACAAAGGAAAACCCAAATGGGGCGGAGAATTTAGCAGGATAATTAGAGAACGTTTATTGGGCCAAGACCAAGACCAGAACTGCCCACCTGGGTAGGGACAGGGTTAATTCTTACAACAAAGGGGAAATGCCTAACAAACATCTGGGCTCACTCCTTTGGATGTGTAGGTGGGGAACGAGTGATACAGATATACTTCTGCAGGGTGTAGCTAAGCTCCTGCTACAATAAATACACATCCGTAACTGAAGATTCCAGCCTCCGTGCATTCCTGTCTCTCCATTGGTCATGTCTCTGTATGACTTTGGCCAAGTCACCTCGACCTGTGTCTCAGTTCAACTATCTGTATAATGGGGAGATGTTGATAGGGACTCTCCTTTCCTGGGTGTGTTGAAGATCCTTCAGTGAAAGGTGCTACACAGTATGGTAATAGTTACTGATAAGAATTACTGATCTCTGATCCCTTAGCAACAGCCCCGTGTGTCTGCAGAAAGTGTTCATGTCTCCCCTCAGCCATCTTTCTCCAGATCTGTTGTCTACTATTTACCCAGCCATCCTGGGCATTTACAGGGTATCAGACCCTATGAAGAACTTGTTTTCTTACTAATCAACTATAATTTTTAAATATACACAAATACACAAAGCATCCAATTCCTCTGTGACTCAGCACAGAGCCCGAGAGTTCTCATCTCCCTTTGGGAACGTCACTTAATTACTGTTTACTCCCAAAGCTGGATAAAGAACAAAGAAGCACAAGCATGGAAAGAAAGACATTGGCCAGAGTGTCTTCAGTCTCCATCCTGTCTGCATTCAGATGGCTTTTCTCCCCTAGACGCAGAGTGTTCCCCCCGGGATTGCACAGAGCTCTATTATAACCAGTGCACACCCCTGTGTCAGCTCTCGGTGTGGGCTGCTGCTGCAGATGCTGGGGTGAGAGCGGTGTGGGTCACTGCTACTTGAGGGGGATTCCCAGAGAAGACACTTCCGTCTCAGGATTCACAGGTACCTGTCCCTTGCTGCTAGACAAACCCAGTAAGATGTGTGCATAATGGGATACAGAATAGGTCTATGGTCCTTTCAGCTATTGTCATAAATATAAAGGGAAGGGTAAACCCCTTTAAAATCCCTCCTGGCCAGAGGAAAAATCCTCTCACCTGTAAAGGGTTAAGAAGCTAAAGGTAACCTCGCTGGCACCTGACCAAAATGACCAATGAGGAGACAAGATATTTTCAAAAGCTGGGAGGAGGGAGAGAAACAAAGGGTCTGTGTCTGTCTGTATGCTGCTTTTGCTGGGGACAGAACAGGAATGGAGTCTTAGAACTTTTAGTAAGTAATCTAGCTAGGTATGTGTTAGATTATGATTTCTTTAAATGGCTGAGAAAAGAACTGTGCTGAATAGAATGACTATTCCTGTCTGTGTGTCTTTTTTGTAACTTAAGGTTTTGCCTAGAGGGGTTCTCTATGTTTGAATCTAATTACCCTGTAAGGTACCTACCATCCTGATTTTACAGAGATGATTCCTTTACTTCTATTAAAAGTCTTCTTGTAAGAAAACTGAATGCTTTTTCATTGTTCTAAGATCCAAGGGTTTGGGTCTGTGGTCACCTATGCAAATTGGTGAGGATTTTTACCAAACCCTCCCCAGGAAGTGGGGTGCAAGGGTTGGGAGGATTTTGGGGGGAAAGATGTGTCCAAACTACGTTTCCCAGTAAACCCAGTTAAAGTTTGGTGGTGGCAGTGGAAATTCCAATGGCAAAGGGTAAAATTAATTTGTACCTTGAGGAAGTTTTAACCTAAGCTGGTAAAAGTAAGCTTAGGAGGTTTTCATGCAGGTCCCCACGTCTGTACCCTAGAGTTCAGAGTGCGGGAGGAACCTTGACAAGGTCTATGGTCCTTTCAGCTATGCACAGTCAGTAAAGATCCCAGGGCCCTCTTTGCAGTTCCCCCTGCCCCAGCTGATGGCCTCCAGCCCCGAGGTGGCTGCATTTCAGTGGCACGGGGATCCTTCAGGATGAAAGGTGTCAGTAGATGGAGAATACAAGGCCAAATTCTGAGGTTGTGGCCTGTACTTCTTCTCAAGCCTCACTGAAGCAAAACTGCCCTTGGAGAAAGAACTGACTAAAAACCACAGGAGGCAGCTGTGTGTTAATGCACAGAGACTGTCACCTCCCCCTCTTGCATTTCAGGGCTTTGGCTGTTAACGGGGGAAGGAGGGTGTTCCTTCCCCACTCTGAACTCTGGGGTACAGATGTGGGGAACCGCATGCAAGACCCCCTAAGTTTATTTTTACCAGCTTAGGTTAAAAACTTTCCCAAGGCACAAAGTCCACCTTGTCCTTGAACAGCATGCTGCCACCACCAAATGATTTAGACAAAGAATCAGGGAAAGGACCACATGGAGTTCCTGTTCCCCCAGAATATCCCCCCAAGCCCTTACACGCCCTTTCCTGTAAGACTTGAAAATAATATCCTAACCAATTGGTTACAAAGTGAACACAGACCCAAATCCCTGGATCTTTAGACACTGAAAAAAATTCAATCAATTCTTAAAAGAAGAATTTTATTTAAAAAAAAAAAGAAAAGGTAAAAATCCTCTCTGTAAAATCAGGTTGGAAGATAACTTTACAGGGTAACAAAATATGCACATAACACAGAGGAACCCCCTCTAGCCTTAGTTTCAAAGTTACAACAAAACAGGGATAAACCTCCCTCCTGCAAAGGGAAAATTCACAAGTTGAGAAAACAAAGATAAACAAATACACCTTGCCTGGCTGTACTTACAATTTCTGTAACACAAGAGACTGGTTCAGAAGGGTTTGGAGGACATGGGTTGATGTCCGGTCCTTCTTAGTCCCAAGAGCGAATGAACACAGAAACAAAGAACCCAAAACAAAGCTCCCCCCAGATCTGAAAGTATCTTTTGTCCCCATTGGTTCCTTTGGTCAGGTGCCAACCAGGTTATTTGAGCTTCTTAACCCCTTACAGGTAAGGAGGAATTTTAGGCTACGCTTATGGGTATGACAGGGGGAAAGGGCTGTTATCTGACTTTTATCTGCTGGAAAGCATGGAGGTGCTCGGGCTCCTCTCTGAACCAATTATAAGAATTTTTAAACATGGACAAGTCATCGTATCTCCTAGCTTCATTCCAGAAGTCAGCTGAACTGTTATGCCTGAAACTTTCAAAAAACAATTCAACCAGAAGCGCAGGCACCCAGCATGGGAAATCTCAGTCCAAAGGCTTAAAGTTTGGCAAACTTATAACTGACTGAAATTGACATCTTCTAATTGAAATCTCAGACAGACTTAACTAAGGGGTCTGCTACTAGCACCAAATACAATGTCCGGTTGATTTGTGAATCCCATTCACCTAGGCCAGTGGTTTCCAAACTGGTGTTGGCATTAGTAGGGCCAGTTGTTCATAATTTCTTTCTCTGAATAATGAAAATGTTGTTTTTCAGTGTGTGAAGAGCGACCGATCTGCTTCCCCCATGAGAACAGCCCCCAGTAGTGCATGCAGTGTCTCATATTCACTTTGTCTCTCCATCCAGGCATTTGTATTGCGACCATCACCATAGAGCCTGGGCACACACAGGGAGTCAGGGGGACGTACGGTACATGCAGGAGACACCGTTCTGCCTCAGAGTTGGACACCTTCTCCCCTACTCCATGTCAGATTCCAACACAACCAACTTCACCAACCCCTCCACCTTCATCCTGCTGGGCATTCCTGGCCTGGAGGTGGCCCATGTCTGGATCTCCATCCCCTTCTGCACCATGTACATCATAACCATGTCGGGGAACTTCACCATCCTGGTCATTGTGAAGACGGAGCAGAGCCTCCATGTGCCCATGTACTATTTCCTCTGCATGCTGGCTGTCAGCGACCTGGTCCTGTCTACTTCCACCCTGCCCAAAACTCTGAGTATCTTCTGGTTCAATTCCAGGGAAATCCACTTCAGTGCCTGCCTCACCCAGATGTACTTCATTCACTGCTTCTTAGCAATGGAGTCTGGGATCTTTGTGGCCATGGCTTTTGATCGTTACGTGGCCATCTGTGATCCTCTGAGACATTCCACCATCCTGACTAACCCTTTGGTGGCCAAGATCAGCCTGGCTGTGGTGCTGCGTGCCGGCATGGTCATATTGCCCTTTCCCTTCCTGGCAAGGCAGTGGCCATATTGCAGAACCAACATCATCCCCCACGCGTACTGTGAATACATGGCCGTGCTGAAGCTGGTCTGTGCTGACATCCTTGTCAGTAGTTACTATGGCCTCCTTCTGGCCCTCTTGGTGACTGCTTTGGATGTGTTTTTTATTGCCTTGTCCTATACCCAGATCCTCAGGGCCATCTTCAGACTCCCCACAAAGGAAGACCGGCTCAAGACTTTTGGGACCTGCGTCTCCCACCTCTGTGTTATCTTAGCCTTTTATATCCCAGTTCTCTTCTCCTTCCTCACGCACCGGTTTGGCCACAATGTGCCCCTGCAGTTCCACGTTCTCATGGCCAACATGTACCTTCTGGTGCCTGCCATGCTAAACCCCATCATCTACGGGGTGAGGACCAGACAGATCCGGGACAGGCTCCTCCGGCTCGTTACTCATAAAGGGATGAAAGATTTCTCCTGGTGCCCTGGCTCTCAGACTGAGTCCCATGCAGAGCTGGTTGGTGACATTGGGCTGATCCCTCTTCCCTGAATCACTTACCAGAGAGTGAAAGTGACATTAAGCCCTTTCCTGACCTTATTGTGCTGTGTCAGTGTGCCGAACTGCGGAATCAATCTATGTACAATTCATTAACTCATAGGAATGTTACCTTTCCAATTTCTGCTAACTGGACCCCTGAGATGCTGCCCGACTCCTTCCTCCAAGGAGTATATCCCTGCTGCACATCTCACCTCAAGAATCCACCCACTTCTGCTCCCTTTCCCCCAAGGTCACACTCCTGGTGATCGCTCCTCTCCTGCCTTTCCCCGTCACTCTCTAGATCATCTCCAGCTTCCTCCCCACCCCAGCTGTGCCATCTCTGCTCCAAAGCTGGCAAAGGAGCTGCTGCAGCCTGACAAACAGTCTGTCGGCTGGTAGGAAGCAGCCCCCGATGAGTAGGGGGGGCATGACTTAATGACCTGCCATCTCCCTCCACCACGCAGTAACTGGACACTGACAGTTTCCCTTTCTGACCTAACTTTCTGGTTGAAAACTGGGTACCTGGTAACCCTAAATGGCACCCTGACACATGAGCCAAAAACTGGACTGTCTGAGTAAAACGGGGTGTGTGTGTGTGTATGTGTTGGTCCAGCCCTTTAAACACACAGAGATTGGATGAGTCAGAGGAAGCTGGGGCAGGAGAGTGGCACAAGGGTGGCAGAGGGAGCTTGTTAGAGAGCTTATTCCTTCACTCTCCCACTTCCCTGGTCCTTCTCGCATGAACAGAGAGCAACAATACCCGAAGTCCGAAGGTGCAAACAATTCGATGTTTATTGGGGTGAACTTCCAGCAAGCTTAAATACAAGTTCCTTTTTCCTTATTTTCGAATCCCAACTTACTTCTTGTTTGCCCCTAATTTATATAGTAATATTCTTAGCTATACCTTCACCAATCATTCTACTGAAATTTAACTAACCAACCCTAACATATTGTAACATGATTAGCTAACCAATTATATCCCACCACCTTAATGAGTTTACTCCCAGCAAAATTAATTATACAGCAGACAGAAACAATCACAGAACCAGACAGAGACCATGCCAATAAACAATAGCAAAGTGGGAACTATAATGACAAAACAATACAGAAGTGAAGATTTCACAACTACATCTATAAAGACATAAGAGTTTCCCAGCTGTGTCTATTGATAAGTGAGTTCTTACCAAACAGAAAACTATCAACCTCAATTTCCTTTTACATCTTCTAGGCTCTTCCCTTTCTCCGGAGGTGATAGGCACTATCAGGACAGGATTGTATCCTAACAGCCCCATAGCACCTTCTTTCAATGTGACTAGTTTGGGATGTGAGGAGGTGACCGGTCGCTTCCCAGCTTATGGCTGCCTCTGTCGCTTAGCCAAAGGCCTTAGCCTACGAACAGGGCCCCAGACTGTCACAGTAAGAGAAGGACCTTACACTGGCAGACAGTGATTTTGATTCTTTCTTTTATACCTCTAACTAGCCAAGTGATAAGAACACACCTAAATTCTTAAAGTACAGGCCTTTACAGACAGGCCTGAATATCTATATCCTAACAGAGCTCTTTGGTTTCAGGGTTAGGGCTGCAGCAGAGAGACAGACTCCAACTGGAGGAGAAGCCGTGAGCTCCAGGAGGTGGCCCCTGGATACCATAGAGGGCTCTGACCAAATCCCAAAGAATGCTCCAGGGCGGTGAGGACACAGAGGCAGGGAATGGCGCGCAGGTGTCATATTGTATTTACCTGGATCTGGGTATCTCTTGTGCTGTCTAAAGTAGAGGAATTGTTTTAGCAATTCCTTTTGCAAGGCCCGGGTTTGTTCGCTTTAACAATCTTGTGACCCAATAGAGAGAAATTGGAAACAGAGTGTGCCCGAAGGGGAGTACTGGGATGGGTGCGCTGAAGCAATTGGAGAATCTGGGGAAGCCAGGCCAAAACTAGTCTCTGGGTCTTGGCACACAGCTCTCTGCTCCCATAGCGAGGCTCTAGAACAGAAGCTGCACCCTGAGAGTGGGCCTAGAAACTCAAAGTCAAAGACAGGGCCTGAAAGGTGCTGAGACTCAAAAGCACGTGGGACCTGTGTGTGGGACCCAAACACAACTGCCTGGTGGGTGTCCAACCGTGACAGGAAACTTGAAGTTGCAACATGGATGCTACATGGTTGCTAGGGGACTGTGAGTGGAAGGTAAGTGCAGCTGGGCAGAGAGGTGTCCACAAGATGTTCTCTTCACCCAAATCTGGTTTCTCTGCCCTCAGTGTTTCCCTGAGTGCTCTAGTTCCAGGAGTGACCCAGCCGGGCTTCCCTGAAGGAAATGTTTCCTGAACAAGCATCACCTTTTGGGGTTAGGGAGAAGGTTTGAGTCTCTCTTGGAAAGTGCTCCCCTGAACAGAAGAGGCAGGGAGTCGCTGTGTTACGGGGGTTTTCAATATGAATATGACATAACGGGAATATGCTTTATGCAAAATACCTCTTGTAAGATATCACTGGAAAAGTTATAATCTGCTTAACGTATTCATCCTATTTATGTGCATGTATCATGCTTATATTTAAAGATAAGAATATGACGCATATGAGGGCCATTAATGGTAATTCAGGAACTTGATGACTCTTAAGCAAGAAACAATTGGCTGTGAATGGATTTGTTTTCCTATAAGTCTGTGGGATGCCTGTGCAAGAGGAGGGGTGCTGTGAAGGCCTGTGTCTGTGTCACCTGATACTGGAATCCACCTTGGATTTGATATTTTTTCACAAGGTGGGGGGAGAGTTTAAACAAAGAGACAAACGATTCCAGCCTTTTCCGAAATCTATATAAGGGTGTGAAGCAGGACAAAAAGGGAGGATACCCCATCTTACTTCCTAAGATATCTGCTGGAAATAACAGAGACTGAACTGGGGGATGGATTTGGCCCAGACTAAAAATGAGTCGAGTCTGTGAAAGAAGCTTACTGGAATATCTTTGAGGGTGAGATATAACATGCAACAAGTTTCTTAGTGTATTAAGTTAGCCTTGCGTGTTTGTTTTATTTTGCTTAGTAACTTATTTTGTTCTGTCATAAAAGTTACCTGTTATGATCACTTAAATCCTACCTTTAATACTTAATAAAATCACTGTTGTTTATTAATAAACCCAGTGTAAGTAACAGTTCCCTAGGGGGTGGGGGCAAATAGTCTGTATATATCTCTCTTTACTTCAAGAAAGAGGGAGAACAATATGAACATATACTGTATAAAATTTTATAGAGTGTAAGGCAGATTTCTCTGGGGTTCAGGTCCCATTGGGGTTGTGCAGTTGGGTGCTGGGGCAAGTCACTTTTAATTGAGCCTTCCCAGAGCTGAGCTAATCTCAGTATCTGTTAGAGGAGGTTTTGGAATTAATTGAGAAACTTAACAGTAACAAGTCACTGGGACCAGACAGCATTCAGACAAGAGTTTTGAAAGAACTGAAATGTGAAATTGCAGAACTATTAACTATGGTTGTAACCTGTCCTTTAAATCAGCTACTGTACCCAATGACTGGAAGATAGCTAATGTAATGCCAATATTTAAGAAGGGCTCTAGAGGTGACCCTGGCAATTACAGACCGGTAAGTCTAACGTCAGTACCAGGCAAATTAGTTGAAACAATAATAAAGAATAAAATGGTCAGACACACAGAAGAACATAAATTGTTGGGTAAAAGTCAACATGGTTTCTGTACAGGGAAATCATGTCTTACTAATCTATTAGAGTTCTTTGAGGGGGTCAACAAACATGTGGACAAGGGGGATGCAGTGGACATAGCGTACTTAGATTTCCAGAAAGCCTTTGACAAGGTCCCTCACCAAAGGCTCTTACGTAAATAAAGTTGTCATGGGATAAGAGGGAAGATCCTTTCATGGACTGAGAACGGGTTAAAAGACAGGGAACAAAGAGTAGGAATAAATGGTAAATTTTCAGAATGGAGAGGGGTAACTAGTGGTGTTCCCCAAGGGTCAGTCCTAGGACCAATCCTATTCAACTTATTCATAAATGATCTGGAGAAAGGGGTAAACAGTCAGGTGGCAAAGTTTGCAGATGATACTAAACTGCTCAAGATAGTCAAGATCAAAGCAGACTGTGAAGAACTTCAAAAAGATCTCACAAAACTAAGTGATTGGGCAACAAAATGGCAAATGAAATGTAATGTGAATAAATGTAAAGTAATGCACATTGGAAAAATAACCCCAACTACACATACAATATGATGGGGGCTAATTTAGCTACAACTAATCAGGAGAAAGATCTTGGAGTCATCATGGATAGTTCTCTGAAGACGTCCACGCAGTGTGCAGCGGCAGCCAAAAAAGCAAACGGGATGTTAGGACTAATTAAAAAAGGGATAGAGAATAAGATGGAGAATATCTTATTGACCCTATATAAATCCATGGTACACCCACTTCTTGAATACTGCATATAGATGTGGTCCCCTCATCTCAAAAAAGATATACTGGCATTAGAAAAGGTTCAGAGAAGGGCAACTAAAACGATTAGGGTTTTGGAATGGGTCATGAGTGATGTGGAGAAAGTGAATAAGGAAAAGTTATTTACTTGTTCCCATAATATAAGAATGAGGGGCCACCAAATGAAATTAATGGGCAGCAGGTTTAAAGCAAATAAAAGAAAGTTCTGGCACCGTCCTCCCTGTGAGCTGGGACTGCCTGGGCCACAGGGACCGAGCAGGGGACCAGGCTGAAGCAGCTGCAGCCAGAGCCACAGGGGTCTGAGAACCATCCCAGGGAGCAGGTCAGTGCTGGGAGCAGAGCGAGAGAAGCAGCAATAATCTGTGACCATCACCCTAGACCCTGGGCACATACAGGAAGTCAGGGGAAAGTATGGTACACGCAGGAGACACTGTTCTGCCTCGGAGTTGGACACTACTCCATGTCAGGTTCCAACACAACCGACATCACCAACCCCTCCCCCTTCATCCTGCTGGGCATTCCTGGCTTAGAGACTGCTCATGTCTGGATTTACATCCCCTTCTGCACCGTGTACGCC